TTTTGAGGTTGGGGGCACAGAGAGAGTGGAGGGGAGAGAGAATCCCAAGCAGGCTCCATGCTGTCAGTGCTGAGCTCAACGTGGGGCTCGATCCCACAAACCGTGAGATCATGACCCGAGCCAAAATCAAGAGCTGGACGCTTAACTGACTGAGCCACTCAGGTGCCCCTCCCCAATGTGCATTTCTAACATGTGCCCAAGCGATGGGGTCCCAGCACCCCACTGTGAGAACCATCACTGCTAGTTGTTGGGAACCATGACTTCACAAGTCCCGAGGCCCAGACAGTGTCCCAGCTCCACTGCGTCAGAATTGTGGAGGCAGGAGGGACACCCAGCATCGGCGTGTTTCTAGGCGCCCCTGATATTCCCAGTGTGCAGCTGAGATGGAACCAGGACTTCAGCCGGGTTCCCACACTTCCCTGATGGCAAGAATCACCCAGTGGGCTCAGTAAATACACACACGACCACGTCACTCCTGTCAAAGTTCAGATTCCGTAGGTCTGGATTAGGGTCCAGGTGCCCACATTTTTGTAATGAGCCCTCCAGGCGAGTCTTAACTTAGATGATGTGGGAATACGGCTCGGGCCGACTCTGACCAGAAGAAGGGGGGCTCTGTCCATGTGGCAGAAGCCCCTGCCAGGTGGGACAGGGTGTGGCAAACGCCAGCCTACTTCTAGGTCGCCCCCCATCACCAGGCTGCACAGCAGAAATGTCCTTGAGAGCCTTTGCGAAATGCTTATGCCTAAGGCCCACTCCCCCAAATATCTTGATCTAATCAGACCAGCCAGCAGCCACCCGTATATTTCAAAATCTCCTCAAGCGATTCTAGTAGCATCAGCCAGAGTTTGGAATCTCTGCTCTAATGCAGCTGGAGAAAAAAAATCCGAACAACTGTTACACTGTCTATGACAGTCAGCTCTGTGTACAAGTGACCAGAGACCAGGACCCTAACACAGAAAAACCATCAACTGGAAGGAAGCGCTGGCACACTCCCCTACTCTGATTAACCATGGGCTACACGGACAATGTTCCAGCTCCAAAACTGCTATTTGTTTTGTAAATTATAAAAGTAATATGTAGCTGTTGTTGACAATTCAGAAAAATAGAGGAAAGAACAAAAAACAAAACCGCCATGGAATCTTTCCCCCCAGAGATAGTTATCTTGATATATATCTTCCAGTCTTTGTGTGGGTGAAGATGTGGGTTCTCAAGTAGTCTTGGTTCTCTACGAGGGATCTGGTTTTCTGTGAACGTTTCCCTGCACTCACAGCGCAAACAGCAGCTGTCACTTGCGTGGCGGTTACTCTGTGCTCAGTCCATGCTTAGTGCTTTCAGTACATTTGCGCACCCACACCCCTCGGGAGATAGGAACTGATGTCATTCCCATGGACAGAGGAGGAAACTGAGGTACAGAAGTAATGTAACATTAACATGTACTTGGGCACTTACGCTGTGTCTGGCCCTGTGTGACGAATCATTTCCTTTAAATTTTATAACCACTGTTCTCTCTCCCTTTTACAGATAAGGAAACCGAGGCACAGAGAGCTTTTGACAGCTCTCTCAAGTGGTACAGCTTGTAAGTAACAGGGAAAGATTCAAACCCAGGAAGTGTGACCCTCCATGAAGCCCATTCAGTTAGCCACTCCGTTTTACTTCTCCTAATGTAATGAAAAATTCCTCAAGTGCATAATTTTAACAGTTGAAGAGTATTGTGTCATATGCACATGACTCACTTAACCACTGCTGGGCATCTACGTAGATTATATTCTAAACGCTTTGAGAAACACTGTCATTCACAAACACTGAGCGTGTCTCAGGTTATGTAGAATAAATCCTTAGAAAAGGAATTAGTGGGTTGGGGGCATTATGTTATCTATATCGTCAGATCTGCCCTCGGTTCCAATTTACTCTCCCACCTGCAGTGCAGGGCACCAGTCTTGCTGATTTTTTCCATCTCTGGTTTTTCCAGTCAATTTGTTTCCTTATTATAGAAGTGCAAGTAACTCCTGATTGGTTTTAATTTGCATTTCCTTGATTACTTCTGAGGTTACCTTTTTTTTTTTCCATGTGCTTAGGTGTCATTTGTGGTTCCAAACGACTTCTACAACACAGCCCACTTTGCAGCCGACAGGTGGTAGAGAGAGGATGGTGTGAACAGGGAGGAGTCCGGGCGACAGCAGGGGAAGGCCTTGGAGGGGACAACGGTGGGGACTGTCTGAAGGGGGACCACTCCCAACACACAGGAGGAGGCTGCCGCTCTGCGGGAGCCAGGATGGTAAATACGGATGGTAAATGCATAGTAAGCATCCATCATTACGATCACGGGCATACCTCGCTTTATCGTGCTTCACAGATACTACGTTTTTTTTTTGTTTTTTTTTTTTACAAATTGAGCATTCAAGCCTTGAGTGGAGGAAGTCCCTGCAGATGGGGGGGAAACAACAGGAGAACTGGAATTACAAGCGGAGCCTGAAGATGGGGCTGAATTGCTGCCACCTTGTGATCAAAGCTCAATGGATGAGAAGTTGCTTCCTATGGATGAGTAGAGAAAGTGGTTTCCTGAGATGGGGTCTACTCCTGGTGAAGACTGTTGAAATGACAGCAAAACATGGAGAATATGCCATAAACTCAGCTGATAAGGCAGAGGCAGGGTCTGGGCGGATTCAGTCCAATAGTGAAAGAAGTTCCACTGTGGGTCGAGTGCTATCAAACAGTATCGCATCTTACAGACCAATTGCGAAAGAAAGAGTCAATAATGTGGCAAACTTCACTGTTGTCTTATTTCTAGAAACTACAGCCACCCCTGCCTTCAGCAGCCAGTGCCCTGATCAGTCAGCAGCCATCAACCTCGAGGCAAGACACTCCACCAGCAAAAGGACGATTCACTGAAAGCTCAGATGATGGTCAGCATTTTCAGCAATATTTTAATGCTTTATTTTATTTTTTTTAAGTAATCTCTACACCCAACATGAGGCTCGAGCTCACAACCCTGAGATAAAAAGCTACATGTTCTGGGGTGCCTGGGTGGCTCAGTCGGTTGGACGTCTGACTTTGGCTCAGGT